TATATCTGACTCTTTTAGTTTTAGGACTTACAAACAACCGTTATGTGAACAAAACTATAATACCCTCTTTAGCAACTCTGTTGCGAGAGTATAAAAAGGAGCAGAGTTTCCTTCAAACTCGACCCTCAAAATGTACTTAAAGAAGTTAAGGTAACACGTCGTCTTTGGATGAGTTATATCCTGAGTGTAAACTGTTGTATGAGAATAGTGCTAACCGAAGCAGTTTCTGTCTCCTATCATGACTGTCCGCGAAACATGAATCCACTGCTATGAACCAGATATGAAGGAAGAGTCCAAATAGTGCACTTCATCCGACAAAACCTGTCCCCAAGTAGGCGAAGATTGTTCTATCGACCGGTTTCTCCGAAAACATGTACTTATTACATTGCGGATAATATGAAAATATTTGCAAACCGAAGAAGAAACTGCCTCGTTTAATAACCATCAAAGAAGCTTATATTCACTGGTACGCAACAATGACTAAAGAACAGTCGTAACAGTGGACTTCATCCGGCATACCTGCTGTAAAGAAGCCCGGAAGGGTGATGAATGCGGTTTTTTGGAATTCAAAAGGTATGATATACATCGACTGCTTGGAGAACGGCAAAATGGTTATAACGCTTTACTAAAGATTAGTAACCTCCAATGTAGCTTGTATTCACTGGTACGTATTTGAGACCAAGGAGTAGCCATATCATTGGACTTCACCCGGTGAATCTACCCCGGGAAGATGTTATGTCAAAGTGGTGAACCTGAATCACCTCAGTGGTACGCATCAAAGATCATGGAACAGACGTTACGTTACTCTAGAAAATCTTAAGTCAAAATAATAGACTTTACCGGGCGAACTTGTTTGTATTCAGTGGTTCGCACCATAGACCGTGGATCAGATGTATCAGCGGACTTCACCCGACGAAACTGCTGCGGAAAATATTAATTCGAAATAGTGGACTTCGCGTCGAATCTACTCGAGAAAGTGTTAAATCCTTCCTACCCTCCGGAAAGCTGATGACCACAGTTTTAAGAGAATCAGAAAAAGCTGATATACTATCTGATCAAATTTTACGCGGATTAGGCTATTTAAACTTCGCGCGTAAACTGAAGCGATAAAAATATCTTTCCAAGTTTGAACTCCATATGACAATTAGAGTGCGCTTGGCAGGTGTTTGTTTGCGACGCGAACCGTTTGTCGTAATCGTTGAAAATGCTGCACACGTTTTTTGGGTAGACTTTATATTATATATCACGAAAACCAGTATCGAAGTGATACAAAGCATTCAGTGAAGGTCGGTACTTTATGGCTTTCACACGACAAACGTGTCTACGTAACCTGAACGGACTCGAATTTTTATACGTCCAAAATTGTCAAGTCGGCGGCATTCCTCAAAACTACTGCAGGGATATTTTCTGCTGATACAACAACAATAATATACAGTGAGGGTCGTGAGGTCAACGAAAACTTGCCCCATGCATGTCGTCCATCTTGGCTCCTCTGTCAATAACGATAGCACCGAAAAAGTTAAAGAAACAGTGCTCGAAAATCGTCGCTAAAGAGTTGCTTGACAAATTAACTGAGTACCCTACAATTGTCAAACGCATTACTACAAAGTGTGAGGTTTTGAATATAACGCTGAAACTGTCCAAAAATCTAAAAAAAAAAGTACTCAAAAAATGAGCCGGAAAAAAAAAATACCAAAATTTTGCTGAAGACGCTGAAGACCTTCACTGCTAAGACTTATAGGTTAGGTTAAGTAAAACTAGTAGACAATAAGCCATGCATATACCAGTTTTTGTCTTTTGCGATACCAGATGGAGTACAGTTCCCAGGTCCAAGAGAAGTAGTCATGCCTTAGGAAGCCTTCACTTGGCGCAAATTTTAACAGACTGTGCGGTCTCACTATCCATACCTCCTTCAGTGTATCAAACCGTGGGAACCACAGATTCTTACAGCGTAGTCTTGCCAATGCAGGACAAGTGCAAAAGAGATACTCCACTGTTTCCCAGGGTGCGCTGCTCTAAACATTCCCTTCACTCTTTTCGATATGGCAGCCCCAATCTGCCGGCGAGTCCGTCACCAGAGAGTGAGCAGTTAGTATTCCGATAATTTTCCTAAAGTTTCTTCTATCGAGCGTCAATAAGAATTTTGTGTACTTCCGATATAGTGTTTTGCACTTGACTTTTGCAGTTTTGCTCACAGGTAGCTCGGTCCATTGGGCTATGATTTTCTTTACCATGCTTCTGTCCAGATCTTCGTATAGATAATGCATGGATTTCGAAATGTTTATCATGTTTCGGATATTAAACGTACACTATTCTCGGCAATCTCGTCCACTATTTCATTGCCCTCGATACCTTTGTGACCTGGCATCCAGTAGAAGTGAAGTTGCTTGCTTCTTGGCAACTCTTTTCACTGCCGCCCTGCTTCCAAAGACTCTTCTGACCAATATGCGGTACGAGGTTACTGTCTTGACTTTGGACAGTATATCCCCGCACCAACTCCATTTTCAAGCCATTCTAATAAGTTTTTTGAGTGTTCCACGTAGCTAACATACCTTTACACCAGCCATTTTTCCCATATTTAGTTTGAACCTTATTTCCCAGTTCAAAGGTGCGGTCATGTAGTCGATCTTTGCCCAACCGCCATTACCCATTGAGCTATGTCCGGATGTTCTAATTCCCGTACAGCCAGTAGTCGTCCCGCCGAGGCTTATGGCAGGTGTATGAAAAATTTGATTAATAGTTGGAATGCTTCTATTGCCACAAAAAGAGGTCTGTTTTGAAGACGATAATACATATTTGTATTAAAAGACGTGATATTTAGGTTTCTTTATTGTTAGTCCGCGATAAATTTGACAGTAAATGGTACATCGACTACGCAGAGAAGGACTAAGCGATCACAGCGGTTCGTATTGGATCGATTTGATGAAGAAAATGTGTTCTGGCTCACAACTGCACCGTAGCTACGAGTTAAGCTACGAACTCTTATCCATCCTCCGTATTCGTCGGATTTGGTCACAAGCGATGTCTGTTAGTTAGCGCTAGTTTAAAAAAAATTCTAGTGGGCCTCCATAAGATTATATTGTATTTATGGTATTCGTTGGGTATGGTGAATTTTTTATCGCCGAGTGTAGGCAAGATTTCTACATGTACATACATAGCTGTTGCTAATACACAAATTAAAAGTAGAATTTCGTCGAAAAATACAAATACAATATATACAACCATGAACACATACACACATGGACTCATTGTGTATTTAAATTCTTTTTAAACGTCCAACACAACGCGCTATAATTTAGAGAGTTCCTTATTTTATCACTATCGCACTGCATATGAGTGTGTATGTACTTAACACAACTTCCGATTACCGAGTTGATAGTATATTAATGACCATACAACGCTGCTGTGCTGATCCTCTGCCTATGCAGTCTGAGCGCGGAAGTTGTCGTGAACTGTTCGCACGCTTAACGGTAGACCGGCAAATTCCACTAATAAAAATACTAATATAATACTTCGGGTATATCGTGTTTAAATTATATATATGTATGTAATATATCGTCATCGAAAATACAAAACAAGGTATAAAGAAAAAAATATTGAAAATTGTTTTCAGATATACTAACCGATATAGAACCATTTTATAACGAAAACTCTAGTTTTCTTTTGAATATGAGATATCCAATGTAATGCTATTTTGTAACCAAAAGTCAAATTTGGTTTCAATATAAGTGGTTTCTATTATATCGTTTTTCCTTCGCCTGTAAGCTTATGAAAATTGCTGTTATGTTATTTTGCATTTTAGTTGACAATATATAAGTATACCTACTTATATAATATATATTATATATTTAATTATACGATTATATCGAATGTGTTCAAGTTGTGTCCAGATACGAGAAATCCACAAGTGAAATTTTTAAACAAGTGTAAATATCAAAATATTATAACTGTGAAAAATAAAGATCGGCGAAATTTGAAACTTTTAATCATATTTTTGAGAGCACAAGATAACTAATGAAGAGCTCGCGCCACAAACTAGAGAGCCTTGTCTTATTCGAAGTTTCAGAATATTTCATTCGATAGTTCTCAAGTTAACTGTCTCAAAGTAATGAAATCTCTAATATTTTGTTTAGAACGAAGTGAAAGTGTATTTCGTGTATTGATAAAACATTGTTGCTTTGTTTTTGAAAATTTCGTCTTAACTGTAACAATACAAATGAGAAAAGCCACTCGAGGCGGTCGCGTTACAAAATACAGCGATAAGTGTGAATTGGTGTTAAGGGCCTGCAAATAACTTGTAACTTGTGATAAAACCGATAAATTCCAAGAATTACGCTAACTACCCCTACATCCTCGGTATGCACAGTATTTTTTCATAGCTAGAATCTAAAAGTAGCGCGCTGACAAAACATTTCATAAAGTAAGTCTCAAAGCTTCATACTATCGAAACGGTGTCGAAATGTTGGAAGACCGTACGTACGTACTCTGAATGAATGCCAAAGAATAGAGCAGCATTTTAGTTGAACAAATATTCTTCCATTATTAGACCAAAGGCTTTTCGGCAGTTATATCAGAGATCTCATCAACTCAGTTATATACTTGAAATTTTTTATGGATAGTTTAGTTTACGCTTTCAAATCGATTGCCATAAGTCTTACTGATCAAAAAGCCACATCCAGATAATTACACTGTATTTATGAAGTACTCATATACAGTATGCGCCATTTTGTATTACTTAATAAACCTTGGTTTGTATTCAAGTATGTGTCGTCAAATTTTCGTGCGTTTCATATGATACGAAGAATTTTTTACACGAATGTTTCTTATGATCATTAACAACCGAGACTCTTGCATTCCAACTAGCATTCTGCTGCTATTTTTCAAATGAAACTATAACACGTAGTGCGGGTAGATAACCCTCAAAGCTGATTGACTTCTAAGAAATAACATCGTATAAAGATACAAGGTGGCTGTGACGTCACAATTCTTGAGAACTAGAGGAAAAACGTGCCTTATCTATTCAACAAAGTCAATAGAATGTCAAAATATGTGCTTTTATAAAATATTTTCAATAGTGCCACATCAATAAAAAGTATATTTGTTTGGGGTATAAACCAAAATAGGTTGTTCAATAAAAAGGGGTTGGTTTTGTACTATGTGAATGGTGACGTGAACCTTTTATACCATCTGATCAAATTTAACCCAAATTTATAATAATTTATTATTATACAGTTGAACTTCCTTAAATTAAATCAACAAAAACCACAAAAAAGCCTTGAGTTATAGGGACTTCGAGTTATAGACGTTTTCAATAAAATACAAAATTTTGTAAAAAGATCTAAAATATAGAAATATACACCGTTTTATTAACTAACTTTGTATCAAGTGTTTTGCTTTTGTAATTACATAAAACACATACTGCTATAGGCAAGTATAGTAAGACTTTGTTCATAATTTTAAAATTCTTCAGCATCTACGTCGTTTCCCTCTAAGTAATTGCCTTGGCCCCAATACACTTGTGCCAAGAGTTATCGAACCTAAATTCCGGCCACTAAAATGGTATTTCTTGCTTTCACACCTCCATAATCGAAGAAAAATGTCAACATAACCGTGATTTTTAACCTGCTTTGACGTAGATTTTACGGCTTCGGTTTTGGCTCACCTTTGCCACAATATTCGGCCGATTGATCGGCTGTTCCAGGTCGTAAATATAGATTCAAGACTCTTCGCCAGTAATAATATGTTTCATGGCATTCTTGTAGTCGGAAGGCATTTTTTCACAGACGTTGTCGCGACGCTGTTTACAAAAAAATATTGTGATTTTGGAACCAATCGTGTTTTAATTTTTTCTTGGCCCAAATGATGGTTTTTACTGATATTGAAGCGATACCAGTGAGATCTTCGACGGTTAATTGTCGATTCTCAAGCACCAATTCCATTATTTATTATTTATTGACGTGTTGATGATCAGGTGATTTTGATGGCCGTCCTGGGTTCTCGACCATCTTTGAATCATTTGCACTATACTGTAATCGCAAACAATTCTAGCGACAAACAATTATCACCTAATGCCTCTTCAAACATTCTGAACATTTCGACACTGGAAATTTGATTCCGCACACAAAATTTAATGGAACTTCTTTCTTGAATAATTTCATTAATTGTGCAAATTGCCGAATGTACTTTATGTACTTCAGAAAGACAGGCGTATACAAAACACAAATGATTATTTTGATGATGGCATAACCGGCACTGACACTGGCTTAAAAAAACACACATTTTGACGAATGGGTTTTTACTCGAAGTTTATATTATGAAGTCTTACAATTTTTTGCCCACAGTAGTATAGTAAAACTTATGGCTGAACATATATTTTTTGCTTGTTAGTTTCAGTGAAAAGAGGATGGGTGGATTGTATTGGCTACTTAGTAAAGTATTACTTATAGTTGTCCACGTAAGATCTTTGATCAGCCCTAACCAAAATATTTGATAAGATCCTATGGTACTTCTATGATACCAATACGCCCACTTTCAAGTACTGTTTTTGTTTAACTTTTGTGATGTTATTGTCATTTATAGAGCTGGATTTCATGAGATTCTATGAAACAGAAAACATTCATGAAGTTGATAGAACTGCTGCTGACGGCCGAATAAAAATCTGGATCCCTCTATAGTGTCGTTAGAACATCAGAAAGTTCAGCCCTTCATAGAATGATTTGCGCCACTCAATTTGTGTTGGTGATAAAGTGACTTTATCAACACTTCTGCATTGCTTTCAACGATTTCGTAGTCGTGCCGTCCACTGGTAGCACAAAATTTCAATAAACCTCGTTTTCCATGGTAAAAATTGCCAGTTTTTCACGCCGTAAAGAAATAATAGTCAAACACACATTAATTGTAATAGTGAGACAAAAATTCACAAGAATAAAAAAGGTTAAGAATCCAGCAAAAAAAAAAATTGATTGATTGGGTTTGCGCGCACAGTTTATATAGATCAGTCCGAGTCAAATTTGATAAGATAGAAGTTCTATTACATACCACTATTGTCAACCAAACCCTCAAGATTATAATTATTATGACAGATCTTCCACTGTTTTGCGAAACTTTTACTGAAATCATGACTATAACCAAGATAATCGTCATGTTTTCGACGCGCTGTTCCATTACTAAGCGATTTATTCTATTTTTGTTTTAAAGAGTCAAAATGTTAAGAACAAGATGTGAAAACTTATACATGAACTCGTATTTGGTCTCCATAATAGGGAATTTATAAATAACTAATTCAGTTATCGTCAATTGTATTTGGGAGAGAGCTATTCTTGTGTAGGTAGGATACATATGGTACTTGTGATAACTTGAGAGTAACATTGTAAATTACGACTTTAAAGATTATTGTTACAACAACATTCTCTTCTAAATGATTAGTAAACGAACATTCAACGCGGTTCATAATTTTTTCTGCGAATTTAGCGGCAAATTAAATGATTAACCCTTTTTTTTTTAAATATCAGAGTTGTACGGTCTTATCCAACACAACTAAAACGTTTGGTAAGGTATAACATATCTTACGAGCTATTGCCGACATTGGGATTAAACGCTAAGCTTTAAGAAATTAAATAAAAGAATTAAATGATATTTACTATTTGTCCTTCTAGAAATGCGCAAAAGACATATTCTATCTTAAACAGATATCTCATATACCTTTCACTGTATTAACGTTTGTATCACTCTCTCTGCGTGACGTCGGACTCCTTAAAGTATACCTATAAATGATTTACCCAATTATGTCTGTATTTATTACGCAAAACATTTACCATTTTCAAAAATGTTTTTAAATCATTATAGTTTCTCTGCACATCTTATTTTATGTTTGAGATGTTGACACTAAAAGACACTTTCCTGCCTGTTTTCGCTACCTTTTCTTCTCTCAAGTTAAGAAAATCCATCACAAAAGTTTCAAAACCTATTGTGCATGGAATAAAATTATTTAAACTAATTATCAATACTTATCAGTGCCAATGACCGCCACCTAATGGTGCATTACATTGTACCGTTATAGGAAATAACACATATTTTTGTGACAGCGCCCATGCTCACTGGTTGATAAACTGCACACGAGCGAATGTTTCTTATCTTTAAAGTTTAATTGACAACAGTTGCGCGAAGTAGTAAATAGAATAGAAACTAATATTAATTTCAATGCTCAAAGGGTTTCTGACGTTTCTCGGTGTTACAAACGAACTTAATATACCGTGTTGAGGATATAAAAATTGGTATAAGGCAAACAATACTATTTTGAAACGAATATTCTCGAATATATGCAGTCTTTAAGATTCCTTTAGTGTCAAAAACAATTTCAGATATATGGCAAGCCTAAAATATTTTTTATTAAAATAGTTTCCATGCCATATCAAAATTTTCTCGCTAATTAAAGATATTGTGTAGTCAAGCAGCCCTCTTCAATTATTATTTTAATATCAATAACAATTTCTGATATATGGCAACCCTATAATATTTTTTATTAAAATAGTTTCCATGCCGTATC